ACACACACACACACCCCCTCAACCCCTGCTTTCTAGGTGTCGCCAAAAATGAGCTTTCGGGACTTACTTAATAAAAACCGACCGCACGTGATCATAGTCCCTACGGATGAGGGCGATCTGCCATTCGGCAGCATACGGTAATTATGAATGGACGCTCTGGAAAAATCCTCTTCTCCGACCCCTTTTGGGACTCGCTACTGCAAGAGTGGCAACATGCTGTGGTGGTACGCCTAATTGGCCACTCTTTTTCGCCCTTGATGATGCATAAACGTCTGTCAGCACTATGGCCCTCGATTCGAGATAACCTAATGATGGACTTGGAGAATGGGTATTTTGTAGTACGCTTTGACTCTCCTGAGGATCAATTACGGGCTCTTACGGATGGCCCTTGGGTGATTGCTAACCACTATCTCCATGTCCAGCCATGGACAGTGGAATTTGAAGCAGCTAACATCCGAACTCAATCAGTTGTAGCATGGATTCGACTGCCCGGCCTACCGGTACAATTCTACAATAACGAGGTATTCCCCTCCATTGGACAAATCGTGGGCAAAGTCGTGAAAATTGATTATCAAACAGCGGCACGCCTTCGGGGTAAATACGCTCGGTTAGCCTGCATTCTGGACTTGTCCTAACAGCTTTGCTCGGACTTTGATATTAGGGGTAGGTTTCAACGAGTAGAATACGAAAGTTTGCTGGACATTTGCTTCACCTGTGGAATGTACGGACATGGGTCAACTTCATGCCTGAAGAATCGTGAAGGGGGAGAGGATCGCCGTTAGGAACCTATGGCTAATGGGGCTGAGGTTGTCCACAACAAGGATCCCGGGCGGGCTACACCGGCTCAACAATATCCTCCAACGTTATCGGGATGGTGGATGGTAGCACAAAATAAACCAAGGCAATATTCTCGAGCGCTCAAACCGCGTGACGTCCCCGCGCCCAAGTTGCACGACGGACACCCCTCGGGCTCACGTTTTGAATCTCTCCAAGAGGAAGGCATGGGAGACAAAGATGAACAACGACTTGGGGAACAACGGGGGGAGTGGACTTTCATGGCAACACCTGGGGAACACGACAAGGGGAGTGGGCCGAAAGTATGGAAGCCTAAACGAACAGATAAGAAGCAGGAAAAGGCTAAACAAGTGACAGGGCCAAAGTAAGTTGCCCACCCAAGTTTAGCATGGACACCAGCAGACACACAAATAATCGTGGTAATGAAGGACGAGAGATAACAAGACTCGCGAGGAGCTGCCAAACCACAGGAGAAAGGGACTCGTCCAAGAGAACCCACACATGGTCTCAACTTCTACTACTCGTGATCCCGACCGGCATCGAGTTGTCACCTTCGTCAACCCACTACCAGTAGCGCACGAGATGGCCGTGGACCCCCAACCATCGACTCGGGGCGACCCACCTCTTCAAGAGGAGCCCCCAGATACTACTAGGATGCCCGAGTCTGAACAAGACATGCGGATGGACAATGTTGACACGGTTTTGACCTCGGGCGTTGACGGCCCATGCTCGCTCTGATGTGTTGGGCTCTCTCACTCTACAGATTTCCCTATGAATTATATTGCCTGGAATGTTCAAGGAGCAGACTCTAGTAGATTTCGTAGAGCCTTCTCGACAATCATTAATCAACATCAGCTGATGGTCGTGGCGTTATTTGAGCCTAAGACTAGTGGTATCAAAGCGGATGAATTTATTCGCAAATCTGGATATCCTCGGTCCTTCCGAGTAGAGGCCTCTGGTTTCTCGGGAGGGATCTTGAATTTGTGGAGAGAGAGAGCCGAGGTGACCATCCTTCAATGCCACAAACAATTCGTTCATCTCCATGTTAAGATTGACGGTAGAGATTCTCTTATCACTTTCATCTATGCCTCACCAAACCCGCGTGGCCGCCGGGTTTTGTGGAATCTTCTACACAACCTGGCCTCATCCATCCGTGATCCTTGATTGATTGGTGGTGATTTTAACTGTATCTTGCGGCCTTTGGAGCGATCTGGTGGCTCTCCCCGTGGCGGTCGAATTTGTGGTGCCTTCTCGGACTGGATCTTTGAGCATGGTATTCATGAGGTCAAGACGGATGGTACCAAATTTACATGGAGCCGACGGGACCTCTATCAGAAACTGGATAGGTTCATTTGTAACGAGCTTTGGCTGGATAAATTCCTGAAGGCTTTTGTCTTACATGCGACTCGTTTACAATCAGATCATACCCCTCTTGTCGTACGTTGCATTCCGGGCCGGCCAGTGCCCCATGGCCCCAGGCCTTTTCGTTTCTTAACTCCATGGCTACTACACGACGGTGTTCGGGAGGTCGTTGATAATTGTTGGCAGGAAAACAAAAATTTTGTGGACGCAGCCAAATCCTTCTCCATAGCGGCAAGTGACTGGAATGTTCAAGTCTTTGGTAATATTTTTGCGAAAAAGAAAACCCTTCTGGCCCGTATTGGGGGGATTCAATGCTCACCACACTATCGTAGATCCTCATGCCTCTCGCAGTTGGAGAAGACCTTAACGGCGGAGCTGGAGGAGATTCTTCTTCAAGAGAAAGTACTCATGATCCAAAAGTTGAACCAGAATTTGTCACTCTTTGGCGACCGTAACACTGCTTTTTACCACCGACAAGTTAAAGCCCGACGCCGTAAAAATAAAATCATTGTCTTGAAGGATGATGAGAAGAACTTGATCACTGATCTCGATGAACTACAACACATGGCCATCACCTATTTTCAGTCAATCTATGCGGCCGGCCAGGTGTGTCCTTTGCCCCGGGCCGCGGGTCCATGCTTCTCGGCCATTGACCCGCAGGCTGACCCAGCTCGGTAGCGATGTGTCCAACGAGGATTTCGCGAGCTCTTTTGGAAATGGGCTCGCTTAAAGCACCAGGAGTTGACGGACTCAATGCACTGTTCTTTAAAAGTCAATGGAAACGAGTAGGGCAATCAGTATGTCGCCTGATCCGGTCGGTGTTCCATGGTGGTGACCTACCGACCGAACTCAATAGAAATTTTATCGTTCTCATTCCTAAATGTGACCAGCCTGAAACGATTAAGCAATTCCGCCCCATCAGCCTACTGAACGTAGCGTACAAACTGTTAACAAAGGTGCTCACCAACAGAATGAAGCCAGTTCTTCCCGATCTAATCGGTCCGGGCCAGTCTAACTTTATCCCGGGCCGTCACATCCATGATAACATCATTGTGGCTCAAGAACTTATTCACTCCATGAAGACTAAAATGGGTGCCACGGGGTATATGTTCGTAAAAGTTGACTTAGAGAAGGCTTACGATTTTTTGCGATGGGACTTTGTTGAGGACACCCTTCTTTTGGCGGGATTTCCTCCACTGTTCGTGAATATCATTATTACATGCCTCTCCACGGCGTCCATGCAGATCCTCTGGAACAGTGTTCCGGGCGAAACATTCTACCCATCTAGGGGGGTGCGATAAAGAGACCCTATCTCTACTTATCTCTTTATTCTCTGCATCGAACACCTAGCACATGCCATCCAATGGGAAGTGAGTGTCGTCGCGTGGAAGCCGATAAGTGTAGGGCGTGGCCGAGTCCATGTCCCGTATTTTTTTTTGCGGATGATTTACTCCTCTTTGTCGAAGCATCCACTGATCAAGGCCTTACATTACAGCGAGTACTCAATAATTTCTCTCAAATATCGGGCCTTCGGGCGAGCGCAACCAAAACCAATCTCTTCTTCTCGAAGAATGTTAATCTAGATCAGAGGAGGGAGCTCTCGAATCTAGTGGGGTTCAACATGGTGGAGGACCTTGGCTATTACCTAGGCGTCCCACTCTTACACGGGTTAAGGGCCAAACGTATGAGAAAATTATCGAGAAGGCTGATGCTCGATTATCCGGGTGGAAGGCGACCTTTTTATCCATGGCTGATCGCGTGGTCCTCGCACAAGCGGTAGTTAGCACCCTTCCGGATTATACCATGCAATCGGTCCGCTTGCCTAATTCCATTTGTGAGGGTCTGGAGAAACGGCTTAAACGTTTCATTTGGGGGGCTCGAGTGATAAATGAAAACTCAGCTTGGTTAAATGGGAGGAGGTTTGTATGGCAAAAGAATTTGGCGGCCTGGGACTCAAACAACAACGGACCATGAATGAGGCCATGCTAATGAAAATTGGTTGGAAATTTCTAACGGACCAGGACTCATTATGGGTGCGGCTGTGGAAAGCTAAATATGGGGAAAACCCTTTTGACATAGCTGCTGGACGATGGAACCATGCTTGGCGACCATCCAATCGGTTCAGAAGGTCTGCAAGCATGTCGTTAGAGGGGCCCGATGGGCGATACGAAATGGCGAGACGACAAAATTCTGGACCGATAAATGGCTTCACTCCGACACACCAGTTTGCTCGTTGTGGCTACAGGAGTGGTTCCACCATGTTTAATAGACAAGTCTGTCAACTTTTTCTCGGAGGGGGGCTCATGGCGTTGGACCTTATTTTATCACCTGGTACCGACATCCGCGCTTCTGCAAATTGCAGCGATCCCGCCGCCACGGGAGGAACTCGGCTGTGACCAATTATATTGGGCCATTCAGGCACGGGTAAGTTTACTACGAGGTTCGCTTACGAGTTTCTAGATGAGGGTGGCCCATTGACTCCGGGGCTGCGCCCTCTATGGCGAGCTGTTTGGCATTGGCCGGGACCTCAACGAATCCGTAACTTTGGTTGTTAGCCAAAAACCGTTTACTTACCAATGCTGAGAAACGGTAGAGACACCTGACTGCCGCGGCCTTCTGCGAAATGTGCAACCATGCTGAGGAGAGACCATTCTACATGTGTGTCGTGATTGCCCATTGGCTGCCGAGCTGTGGAGACGTCTGTTGCCAGGTACTGCTCATAATGAATTTTTCTCCTTACCTTTGGAGCCTTGACTGTCACTGAATCTGGGGGACCCTTTGAGAATTAGGGGTGATTCATGGTTGTGCACTTTTGGAGTGGTTGTATGGAAATTATGGAATTGGCGTAACGACACATCTTCCAGGGGAAAACCCGAGATGTGGCAGGGGGACTACACGAAATTACAAATATCGTAGGGATGACGGCGGTAAGCGAAGGTACCAACAAGCTTCGGGAAATAGGCCGCATGCGAACATCCCAATAGATACACTGGAAGAAACCTCCGGTCGGATGGGTCAAAAGTAAATTCGGACGGCTCATTCTCCCCAACGTCGGGCATGGGGCGTACGGGGGGCCTAATCCGTGATGACCAAGGGCATTGGCTCGGGGGCTTCACGTTAAACATAGGTATTTGCTCGATCATGGCTGCAAAATTATGGGGCTTGTTTCGGGGACTCTCTTTGGCATGAGAGCTGGGGCATAGGTATGTTGAGGCCGAGGTTGACAACGCGAGTGCTGTGGCCTTCGTTACGTCCTTTGTAGATGACCCCGATGTACACTCGGGCCATGTGTCGGGCATCAAGGAATTCTTAAGTCGACCATGGGAGGTCAAAGTGACACATGTATTCTGTGAAGCGAATTATGCAGCCGATTACTTGGCTTCCTTCGCCTCGGAAGGCCCTGTGGGGTACCAGTTTTTCCATGATCCGCCGGAAGGTATCCGTCAATGGCTACAATACGATCTCGTTGGCGTAGCCTATTCACGAACCGTCCGCTGTTTAACCCATTAGGCGTTTTGCTTCTTTTATTGTACCAAAAAAAAAAAAAAATATCGCACAAGAATGGCTTAGACCACAGTAGTTATTTGTTAAGTGGAGAATCGCTTATTAAATAATATACCGAGATTATAATAATTAATGAAAAAAATTTAAAAAGAACAAGTTTATGTGTAATAATTTTCTTTGTGGGAGATGCTACGGTCCTGTTACGGGACCATTCCATCTGGATTTGTAACCGCTAGATCAACTATCTCTAACGGTTACATGATGATCTAACAGTTACAAATCTCGACGAAATGGTTTCGTAACGGGACCGTAACATTTCCCTATCTTTGTATCGTTCCAATTTTATCGTTCCAATTATCTTTGTAATAATTATCTTTAAGACAAAATTAAGTTGTTCATACCTTAATTGAACTTGTTTAAGTAATTTCTTTCCTCCACTTTTAATAAATTATATAGTTGCCAGCTTTGAATCCTTCGACTTCACTTGTGACTAATGAGAATAGGGTTTCGCTTTCAGCAACTTTGCTAAGAAATTAGATGGTTGGTTCCCTTATGGAACCAACCACCAATGAGACAGTGTCATATGAGGATGTCCCACATGATTTTCATGTGGGACAGCCCCATGTGGCACTGTCTCATTGGTGGTTGGTTTCATAAGGAAACCAACCATCTGATTTCATAGAAGAACTGTCGCTTTCAGTTGTGGCCCTACTCTCTCTATATATAATAATGGATAGAAATATCGGGAAGCTTTCGATGCATATTTAAATAAATGCAATTTAATTTAATTACAACACGTTCAATGTGATTTAATTAAAATATGAAAAATAAGGGACCAACCATCCCACTCAAATAAATTAATTGAAAAATCATTTAGGAATTTGAAACTTTAGTTATTATTATTATTATTATTATTATGATGAGTAAAGCACAAAAGACTTGATAGGCTAGAGTACGTACGTAGGACCATTTATTATTGATCAGAAACATCTCAAGTGCTTGTGATATGCTAAAGCATCATTTTTTTGGAGTTCCGTTGTTTTTTATTTAGCCGTAGATATACATATAGATCAATGATGTGTAGATATTCAATGGTTAAAAAGAACAACGAAACGATCTTGTAACGGAACTCTAACCTTCCCCATTTTTTTTTTTATATTTCTTTTTTTTTTTTTCTCTTGCCTTAAAAATTGGGACAAGTATCCTGAACAGGTAAGCAAGGAAGGCTAAAAAGTAAAAACTAATCAAAGTTCTATCTAGTCAATAAAATAATTGCATGAATAATATTGCATGGGGCCAGCACTATGACTAAAGACTTGGGATTCTTTTTTTTTTTTTTTGAAAAAGAAGTAAAATCAAAATTCAAGTATGAAAACTAAATTAACCTATCACTGTAGCCTGTAAGCACCAGGAAATTGCATCCAGCTACCCTATCACTCTACTTTTTGCAACCTACACACAAATATTAAATAAAAAAAAAATGTTTTTTTTTTGTTTTCAAATAACACCACAGGAGGGTGGGGTTAAGGCCGAACTCCCAACATGTATATAAAAAAAAAAATTCTAAATGGGTTTGTCACAAGGTCACAAGTGGGTCTGATACACATCAAGTCAAATGAAAAACCACAAACAAAAGCAAGAAAAATACAATGAAAAGCTGACAACTGCAGTGAAAAAACAAAATAATAGATCCTGGTCCGGGAAAAGTCCCGGCGAAGAAGTCTGCATCACAGTGTGGCAGATGCGCTAAAATGCAGGAGTGACTACGCAAATCTGAATGAAGATATCCCATCTGATCCATCCGTATGAGGGTGCGGAGGAGAATATCGTCAAGTAAAGAATGCGTCTCCGAGGGGTGGAGGACCCGATGCCGGCGAGGAACTTAACAGGCCGGTTCCCCTTGCGAAAGATGTGTGAGATCCGAGAGCGAATCGATGGAAGAACGGCTCTGATACGCATGAGGGGTCCGTAACTCCAAGTCTTTTACTGCCATAATATGCATGCAAAACACGCTTTTAATCTTAGTCTCTTTCTTATTTCCTAAATAAATAAATATTTAACTCTTTTCCATTACATCTCTCTATCATATATATACACTCAATTCTAATAACTTGTCATCACCACAATCATCAATATCTGCTACATCCAATATTCTTTCTCTACTAAATTAACGAGAAATCATAACTACAAGAAAAAAAAATGGAGTCCGCGACTTGCAACAAGTGTTTCTCAAGCGACTACATGCTTCTGAACCCAGACGAGGCCGGTTTTCTCGACCTCGCCAAGGTTTTGTTTTCTAGCAACCTCGAGAAAAGGAAATTTGTCGACTGTCCTGATGGTGCGCACGAGCCGTCGTTCGGGCGTAGATGGATCATTTTCGTCTCCGTCGTCGTGCAGAAAATGCTGAAAATGGTCGCAAAGCCCCTGGCCGGGTTCGGTTCAGGGATCGAGCATTGGCTGAATTTGCTGTCGGGGAATGGTGGTTTTTTCGGGCTTGCGGCAAATTATCTTAAAGGTATTATTTTATTTTATTTTATTTTATTGTGTGTGTGTGTGTGAGAGCTAGGTGCCATTGACAATTCTATATAATTTTAGTCCAAATCGGACAAATTGATTAGCCAATATTTTATGCAAGTTGCACATGATCTCACCTGATTAATTTACCACGTTACATAAAAAGGCTAGTTAAAGTGGAATGCTAATTCACAATAGCTCAAGTGGTAAGCAGTTTGACCTCGTTTAAGCAAGGTTTCGGGTTCGAGTTCTTGTTTATGCAGAAAACTCTTGTTGGGAGACTCACCCACCATTGTCATGTGTGCGGCACGGGTCGACCAGCAGATTAGTCGGGTCAATGCTTCGAATACCGTGGTTAGCTACCAACAAAAAAAAAAGTGAAATACTAATTATTGCATATAATACTTTTTTTTTTATTTCTATTTAGTTATTCAAAATTTATCTTATTAAAAACAATGAATGGAAAAAAATATCTACTCCATCTCACTTTTTTTTTTTCTTTACAATATCCCAATTAAATATATATATATATATATATATATATATAAATCATTAACATATATATGTTTTACCAACATAAAATAAAATATCATTAATTCACTCATATACTTTTAACTATAATTTATTATCAAATAATGTTTTATTACCTGCAACTTTCGATCTCATAGAAAATAACTTCATTTTTCTCTTTTTTTTTTTGTCTAGAATTTTCGATAAATCTATTTGT